CGCAGCATTCTTTTTATCGGTTTCCATTCTTTTCGTTGCTTTATTCGTGCCGCGCGTATTATCCATCTTCACATTCTTGCCTTGTTTGTCTGAAGACCTCAAAATCACTGCAACAAGGGTTGCATGAGCATCATTGTTTTGGTCTGTCGTTTATTCTCGATTCTTGGAAGTCGGCTGTGTTGTGGGACGTTTCCCTTGGAAGTCTTTCAGAGACTCTTTCCCAGCCATTAGATAACTGGATGTATTTGAATGCTGGAATGCTCTCTTGTGCTACTACTATTCACACCGTTCTGGCGTCGTCAACTGTAAATACCATAACGTTTGTTGTCGCAAATGATTGCACTGGTATTACCGCCATTCAACTTCATCGTCGTATCATGACATGACATCACCATTACAGACAGTGGTACAGCAGAGAAATGAACAGAAACCCGAAATTAGGAGAAAGTGTTTGTCTCAACCAACATCAGGCATAATGCTTCGTTTACAGTCACCTCAAATTTGGGTCAATGAACTCCCAAACGTGAGTAATACAACCTTATAATTATTATTAATTTTATTTATATTTTTAGTACCTTACTATGACTGTATCTCCTTTATCATATTTTCGATGATAGAGATTATTGGTAAAATTACAACGATTTAATTTTGCTGTAATTGCTAGCTGATAGTTAACTTGCAAAAATAATCAGTAAATACAGCTTAATACTTTCAAGATATTTTAATAAATATCACTTTATCATTTCGTTTTCTGAACAAATTATAGCAGTATTTTGAAAATACGCAAATTCATTTATTGATTTGAAATTATTATCAGTAAAATTTTTACTGATGTAAGCAATCTCTGATGTATGCAAGCTACTTGATAGAATTAAATAAAAGTATTGATTATAATTATTAATAAGTAATAATACTAAATATTAATGACAAAACATGCCAAATTCCAGTTTTTTTGCATGTATGTTTCATTGAAAATATATGAAGGAAATCCACTTTTATAATTAATATGTTTCGCTTTTTTGATTGCCCGCCGTCGAGTTTCATTGTCCATCCAATCTACCGTTTGCAACTGTCGGATTAACTCATTTTTGAAATGCTTCGTTAAATCGTTCATCTTAATTATAATTTATGTCTGTTTTTTTCTTTTTTCATTAAAATTAACAAATAAGCAATAATAATAATAATAAGTATTAATAATAAGAATTAATAATGATAATATTGATAATAATAATAATAATAATAATAATAATAAATTAAAATTCTTTCTTTTATAAAATGGAATATAACCAACTTTGTCCATGGATTTGATTTTATCGAAGTGATTTTCTACATATAGCTTACCAACTGGCATATCAATCATTACTGTAGAAAGAAAAACACAATCCTCCCATCTGAAATAATGTACATATGAATATACTTTGGCTTAAATTTAATTTTTTGAGTTTTTCTTAAGTATTCAAACTAGAAATCACTTCAAGCAAGCACTGAGTAAAGAGCAGTTGATCTTTTTGTTGCTTGTCAAATTATCAAGTAGAGTTATAACTATTATGCTATGCAAATTTGTATGAGTGTGACCTTTCAGGGACTGGGATATTGGGCATGCCAGTTTGGTTAGCTTTGAAGGCATAAAATGGTTCTCTCATTGAAGGAGGCAAAAATGGTGAATATCCTTGAATTACTCGCCAGAGCATATAATCAGCAATTATTCGTTTATTCGTTTGTTTCATTACTTTCTAAACATAATTTAAACATCTGATAATTACTAATTAGATTTGATAATCACTAATTAGATCAATTTTGTGAAGAAATTTTGCAAATTTTAATTGTGAAATTTGAGGAAATTCTTTTATTTGCTTTTAATTATTAAGCATTAGCAAAAATATTGTTAATACTAGAAAGTATATGCCTGAATTTGACGGAAATATTCTGGTTCTCGAATAATAATTGTGTCATTTGGACTTAGTTCTTCCAAACCATCAAAAACAGCATAAATATATTCTACTAAATCTATCTAAAAATATTTATAATATTCATTATTTTATCATAAATATTACACAAACATACGCTTTTTAATGAGGCAAAATTTTAATTGACATTTTATATTTATGCAAAATACAATTTTAGTAACAATTAAATTACTTACAGCAGTCAATCCTTTAAATTTTATATTAATAAATATAAATTTTCTATTTGTTTAAGTTTTGCTTTAAAATTTACATCTGGAAAAAGATGGCGTAACTGCCAAAGTTGAAAACGATTATTGCCGCGTTCAGGGTTACGTCGGGTCATTTCATCAGCCGAAAATTTTACCAGAAGTAACTCAAACTCAATAACTTTCATCATTTCATTTTCGGCATGAATTCGATCAGCTCCTGCCAATTTTACTTATTGTAATTTTATTTTTTCTATTTCTCAATTTAAACTTTTGCATTTTTTCTGTTTGTTTTTGCAAAATATTACTTAAATTTAACTCAGAAATTTACAAATTATCGAAAAATAATCCGATTTAAATAATATTTATAATATTTATGGTTTCATGATTATAATTAAGACCTATATTAACAGCCGTTTGGATCATTAAGAATGTATAGTTTTGTATGACAGAATCATTTATTCCAGCCAGATATGGCCATCTTGAACCTACACCCCACTTCGGTTGATCAATCTGAAAATTTTTATGGCAGTTTAACTATTATTTTTTCTAAAACTATTTGTTTTAGTGAAAAATTTAAGTGTAAAATGGATAATTTTTTAATAATTATTAAATCTATACAAAATTTGTTTTTGCAAAATGACTTACAAAAATTTACAGATTGTCTTGCATTGTTTATCACTTATGATCTGTAACATTACAGAAGAGAAAATTTCAATTTCCAAAAAATGAAACAAGTTGGACTGAAAAGTTTTAGTTTAAAAACCTTGAACTCGAACTCTTTCTTTTAAAAAATTTGACTATTTGAATTTTTGGTTGTCATTGCTATAAAAACGTCAAATTATTTTAAAAAATTAACCTAAATACTCATTTATAATCTAAATCATTTTGCATACCTCAATAACACATTTCGAACTGTTTGATGGGTCGTGTGTTACGGCTAATTCCAGAAGAATCGCGTTTATACCGGTTTTATTCGTAATTATAGCTAACTGTTTTCCCCAAGTATGATTCCAAGGTCTCCAAGTTTGACCTTCTAAAACTGGCCATCCACCTAAATCTTGAAACAACTTTCTCACCGATGAAACACCTGTTGCTTTTAGAGCTTCTGAAAAAAATCCTATTTGTAAGAACTCGAATTTCGATTAATCACACAACTACAAATGAGCAATTTAGTGCTAAATACTTAGTGGTAATGAACAAAATTTAAGCATATTGAAATTAGAAAAAATAGCTTTAAAAATTTTGCCAAAACACTGAACTTTAATATTTTATTAATAAAGCACATTTCTATTTTAACTGATATATACAATAACCTTCATCCAAGCACTTTTGGTAGTACTGTTTTGCAAGACGATCCCATGGCTTATCTTCATCAGTTACAGAAGCCTGGAAATGTTTTTTATATTTATAATTTTTTGAATCAAATAAAAGCATATCAAAATTAAAGCAAAACAAGCATCATTTTTAGTTTTTTATAAAAATTCTTCAATTTTTCAAGATCTGAAACCTGTAATAATTTCTTGACTTGTTTATTGAGACGATTCTGCATGTCACTTAACGTGTGCATAATTGCTTTACTCGATGGTAAATGTCGATTAATTCCGTAATTACCACAGGCATATTCGTAGAAGTCATCACATGGATTGATCTTTATAAAAAATACCTCATGAAATATAAAAATATTAAATAATAGTGATAAATAACTTTATTTTAAATTTTTGCGCAAATACTTTATGCATTTTTTATTTTGTTTACATTTATTATGTAGAAATTACTTCTGTCAATTAACAGCAATAAATAATTTAAATGATAAGCTCAGCACAATCGCTTTTTTTGCCAATAAAATATTTTTCATTTCAATTTTAAATTGGCTTAAGGAATAAGGTTCATGCAATTTAATTATTAAATATTATTTCTCGCTCAAAAAATAAGCTTATTTTGAAAAATAGCTTGTAACAGTTAATTCTATCACTACTTAATAGCTGACTATTGTAGAATAGTTAATTTTGTAATATGCAAACTTTCATATATCTGCTCGTTTTATTTTATTTTATTATTAAATCATGAAAATTCTTTAAATATACAAATGGTAATAATAGAAATCAGTTCTGTATACATTTATTAAACTTGTAATTTTCATGCAACTTGCACAGATGACAGGCTTTTGGATTCACTTCTATGCCATTTAATAAATCATTGCTCATTGCAAACTTTGTAAAGTTGATTTTGTAAAGATTAACAATTAGTATAATTTTTCCTTCTTAAAGTAATCTTTTGCTTTAAACAAAAAAATTCAAAACTTTTGAATATTTTCAGTACTATTAGCATTAAATCTACAAATCATTCCATCTAGCGACAAAACAAATTATTTAAAGCAAATTTTAGTTCAACAAAATAGCATGAAAAAGTATGCAAGCAGTTGGATTCTAAATTACTGATTCGATTTCATGTTTAAAATTTTTTATTGATTCTATCATATCCCATAAATAAATCACTGTTATTTAATCGATAAATCCATCAGAAAGATTATTACTGCAATTTTTCATGTATGTATTATTTTATTCGACAGTCAATGCATATATTCCACGATCGTAAGAAGCAAACTTTGTATATTTTGTATTTCTTATTTGATTATTTGTTGTAATTAATTTAAGTTCCATTACTTCATTTGAAATATTTCATTTTTCAAAATTTTTCTTATTATTGCTCTCACAATAACTTTTGATGTAATTTTCTTCGCAAAAAAAAATCAGAAAAATTTTTTTATTTTCAGTAATTATATTTATAATAAAAGTTTCACCTTTTCATTTAAATTACCAGCAAGAAAACCAGCAATAAGTACACATTCTCTAGACGTGCACACGTATCCGCCATGATATGACGCACTCTCATCTACTCCAACTGATAATAAGTTTGCTTTTTCAAGAAGGTCGCGTTTTTCTGCATTTGCAGATGACGTGTCTAAAAATCACAGATTAAGCATCTAAAATCTTTGAGTGATCTGCTAAAAATCTGCAGTGAGTGTGATCATACACTAAAGTATACGATATTTAAAATACTGTGTTAGAAACAAACTTATAAAATGACAACTTTGAGCATTTTTTTTACTAACAATCAATTACAAAGCCTTCAAGCATATTACTTTTTAAGATTCATTAACAAACCTCGGTAGAAAAGAATCCACAACACCGAAATACCGACCAAAGCGCATAACAGCAAGAATGATAATATAAGCAAAGCAATTTCAAGACATGTGAAGCCAAGGATACATTTTCTGAAATTATAAAACCTTTATTTTCAACCGCAAATTGTAAAAGTTTCAGAAGTTTTAAATGGTGATATGCTTTATAGAAGTTTTGTATATACAAAAAAGCAAATATTTTAAAAGTATAGAGAAATCGTATTAATACTCTCAGAAATTTGTACTGTTACTGCTCGTGCTCGATTGAAAATTTGTAAACTAATTGAACTTCAATTTCAAATTCGTAATCAGTTTTCTATGAAACAATTTTGAATAAATTTATAAAGACTTAAGTACTTTGATGGATTTCTATTATTCCATATTCCACCATTCTGATTGTAATTTTTCATCCCTGTAGAATAAACAACTAATTTTGTAGCTCAGTACTCACAGTTACAAAATCCAAATATTTGCAAATCATTTTGATGCTACCATCTTATCACAAAATCATTGTAGGCCAGTGATAAAGAAATCAGTTTGACAGCAATTTAAGAAAATAATTGATAAATCAATAACAACCGATAAATCTGAAAAAATCATCATTAATATATGCAATGATCAATTAAAGGAGTAATTTTTTGAATATATAGATTATATTAAGATCAAATTTGAACATTCAGCTCATATCTTAGATATAAGACAGAATATGAGATGAATGTAAAGAATAACTGATGTTGTGAAGTTATGATCAAAAAATTTGATCAGCAAATACATTTTTGTACAATAAAAATGAACTTGCAAGAGGAAATAAGTAACAAGAATATTAATCTGAAATAAGTAATGAAAATATTAATATGAAATAAGTAATGGAAATATTAATATGAAATAAGTAATGGAAATATTAATATAAAATAAGTAATGGAAATATTAATATGAAATAAGTAATGGTAATATTAATATGAAATAAGTAATGGTAATATTAATAAGAGTAAAAAAATTTATTTTCAATAAGGTTAGTTATCTGAAAAATGCACAAATTTAATAATCCAAAAATACAAAAATAAATTATAAAAGCAGAGTTGACTTATTGAAATGTTTCTATTTGTCTAATTTGTTATCCTTTTTGCAAACTTTTACATAGTTTGTTTATGGAGTATTCTTTGCTAGCAAGAGCGCTTAAATTCTTCTCAAATTCATCTTGCTTGCTTAGAGCAAATGGATAAGAGCTTTTAAAGATCTATTTGACATTTTTTACAAATAATTTATATATGTGCATAAAATTACCAAGCAAGAATGTACACAAGAACAGCAAGTTTAAAGATATTTAATAATTCTCAGAAGTCTTATCAAAGTGTACAAAAAAATTTTATGCTAATTTTGGACAGAAGTTTATTCAAATTTTTGTACTTAAAGAATACAAAATTTTTTTTCTTTCAAAATTGATGTAATTTTGAAAATAATGCACAAATTTAATAATCCAAAAGTACAAAAATAAATTATAATAAAAATTGACTTACTGAAATGTTTCTATTTGTCTAATTTGTTATCCTTTTTGCAAACTTTTACATAGTTTGTTTATGGAGTATTCTTTTTTTTCAAACTTTAATCCCACGCTATACTATTATTTATCTTTGCTTATACTTTTGCTCCAATAAAAATTTTTCGATTTTGCTGCTATCAAAAGGTTGTTTTTACATGCATAAGACAAATACTACACGTAAAAGTAACGCATACATAAATACTAATTTATAATAAGAGTTTTTTAATAAATATTAAAAATAAATGTATCAATGATTAGAGTAATCAGCAAACTGTTTAATCTCATACACTACTAAAAATGCTAAAAATATTATTACAATTAATGGATTTGTTCCTTACGGCTGTGAATAATATAATCAGCTAATTATTTTTAGTTATATTTAGAGTAAAAATGCTAACTACTTCATTTGCAAAAAGCTTTTATGTAGACAAATAACTAAGTAATTATACACAACATTCATTCATTTCTATCAAACAACTAAAAATATTCAGCCATTTTTTTCTATAGCCTAAAATTACTTCAAGATTGTTAATGAATAGTCTATCGAATATTCATTCATACGAATATGAATCCAATTTAACTTACAGAACTACAATAATTTCTGTAATATTTTATAGAAATTCAGTAGCAATAACTTATACAAATTGCTTTTATTAAAACAAGGATTTCAACTGCACTAACTTATAGTAAGGCCTTAGAGTGACTGATCAGAAATTTTGAGATAATAAGCCTAGACTGTTTCTGTTAGACAGACTTGACCTGTAGAATAAGACTTGAAATGAAAGGAAGTTTTGCAATGTTTACTAAGACAAAAAACAAGTAATTTTGCTGCAGTCATACTTTTTAAAGTCTCAAAAAAAGACAAGAATATGCTGCTTTGTGCATAGATAAAGAAGTAATTTCTCGATGCAAGTTGAACAGCTGTGCTTGCTAATTTGTAAAATTTGCAAAAAAATAAAATAAAAAAGAAAAAGAAAAAGAAAAGAAAAATGAGAAAAGAAAGTTGGCAGTGCAAATTCTGATCATTGGTTTAGCTTGAATTCTATGCAGACTGAATTTTTTTAGCAAATAATAAAATTTATAAAAATGACAAAACTATGATAATTTTTAAATTGATCTATGATAATTTTAAAAATCTATGATAATTCTGATCTGTGATAATTTTTGAAAAATTAAAAATGATCATGTATTAATTTAATTGGAAGCAAATTAAACTTAAGTATAACAATTTTGTAATAAAAAAGTTGAGGTTAAAATTTATAAATTAGTATAGAACAAAAAATTTCATATTGCATTAATTAAAGTAAAAACAGTCATTTGCTTTAATTAGGCAATGTATGAAATAATTTTGGTTGCTTGCAATGAGGAATTTTCAAAAAAAAACAAAATTAATCTTGAATGCTTATTTAAATTATCAAATACAACGTTTAATGTGTTGAGTAAGTCAATGCTAAAGAAGTTAAATATAACAAAAAAATATCAGATAAAAATAAAAATAAACTCATTTTTTGTCTGGCATATTTAATAATTTTAATAATCTGTTTTAGTTTGTATTCAAGAAAAAAAACGTGCAGCACAGTTTTATGCTTAATGCATTGAACAAATACAAAACTTTGCTATGCACTATAACTATAACAGAAGTAATCAACAAAATCAACTTCAGTAAGCATAAAAGTCTGAGTGAAACTAAGATAAAACTAACGTTTAATTAAGTGTAGAAGTGATGATGGAAAAAAAAAACAGTTTTTGTAAATTAAAAACAAAACTGAAAAGTTAATTAAGAAGAAAGCAATTTATATGCAGAAGTCTGCACGTAATAACAAAATAAATTAGATTCAAAAAATCAACCAAAAATAGTCTATAAAAATTCCAATGCTTTATGCATCAAAAATTGAAGAAAATAAGAAAAAATGATAATTATTTTGAAAGTATGTATTTATTCAAGGCAGTTTAATTAAAATAGTTTTAGCTTAAGTTTGATAGCTACTCATTATGCTGCAAAATGAAGTATACCAATCTCATCAATGATTAGAAACTCTATTTTCATAGAGTTAAAAAATTAATTTCACTTTGAAAATTTTTTCCTTTTAAGGAAAAATAACTTTTTTACTACAATTAAGATTAAAAGCCTAGAACTCAACTGCAAAGTAATAACTAAAACTAACTTTTGATATGCATTTGCTGCTAAAATAGAAGTGACATTGAAGGTTTTGAGGTTAATTAACAAAAATTTCATTGAAAACTTTATTATTACTAACATTATGCTATTAAAAAACATACTATTATCATTTAGTAAATATTTACAGTCCATTAATTGTTCAAGGTATAAAGTAAACTTGTAAACTTATAACTAAGATTTTAACGTTATTAAAGTACTACTAAAATTTTAACGTTATTAACGTATAAAGTAAACTTGTAAACGTATAACTAAGATTTTAACGTTATTAAAGTATTACTAAAATTTTAACGTTATTAAAGTACTACTAAAATTTTAACGTTATTGACGTATTACTAAAGTTTTGACGTTATAAATGAAAATTTAACGCTTTTAATAAAATATTGTGCAAAAAGCTAAGCGCTTCCTTACATATATTTGATGCTAATTTAATTAGCAAACGCAAATTTTTCGTCTTCACTCCTAAGAGCACATTTTAAGAAAGAAAAGTAATTTGAGTTATTTTTTACACTACCCATAAACTTAATTATGTCATTATGATATTCGGTATTTTGCTGTTATTTTGCTTGCATGCATGCATATTTATTACTGTGATAATCTCATTGCGCGTTATTTTTAATGAAAAAAGACTTTAAATTAGTATACAAATGGCCTGCCTATGCTTGTCAACTTTTTTGTAGCAATTAGATAGATAAAAGCTTCCTTTTCTTAAAAACAAAATATCAATAAATAAAATAACTGATCATTTAGTATTAATAAAAGTAATTAATTTAGCTCATTAATTTTTCAAAGTACTTCAAGTTTAATGAATTTTTTATCAAACTCAAAATTTGGGCATAATTTTAGCCATAAATAGCAATACTTCAGCTATAAGTGTTACTAAATAAAGGTAAGTTAGATATTCTCTAAACAAAAAGTCTATAAAATTGATTCTTTAAGCTTGTTTTGCTTGTGAATACTTATCATTTCAAAAGGTTATCTTAAAAGGTCACCAAATTTTATTAAAAGAATTATTTTATTAACTCAATAGCAACTTAGCTTGTGCCTTCAGCCAATACTTGTAATATTATTCATCATTTTTGATTCTGTACTTATAATTCTTTTTGGTTACATTTCTGAAATTAGTATGTTTTAAAAGTAATAAAATTTAATTTATCACAAATATATTTATAGTAAATGTACAAAAAAGTATGACAAGCAAAAAAAAATTATAATGACAGATAGTGCAAGTTTTCAAAAATCTTAGTTTATTGCTAAGCTAAAAAAACATTTTAGATTGCTTTTACGAAAGGCTCCACAAAGTTTTAAATATGCTCAGCCAAGAGTTTTTCATTTGCATAACAATCCATAAAATAAATTGAAATTGACCACACTACGAAAAAATTGTATTCTGATATTTTTTTTTTCTGTAGTAAATATATCCAAATATACCAAAAGAAAACAGATTATGGTTCCAAAATAAAATACAAAATAATATTTATGATTATTATATCATAAAAAGTATTAAAATAAGCAAAATTTTGATAAAAATATTTGCATAATTGGACGCAAAATGAAAAATATGCATGTGTGTACGAAGCAAAAATATCAAAGCATTGTCTGAGTGACCAAATATTTTCGCATGCATACATTTTACTTATTTAAAAATATTCTTTTTCCTACCAAAAATTTTGCATTTTTTCTGGGAAAATAAAAAATATTCAAATTATTAATAAACTTAAAATGATTAAAATATGCAAACTACACAACAAAACTTGCAAACATTAATTTATATTTTTTCCTAACTTTACAATTCACAAAATCAAACTTTAATTTATTACAATATCTATTTTTTAAATTTTGGCATTAAATATCTGAGTGTAAAAACAATACTTGAAAATATTCGATAATTTTTGAATTTTTAAAGTATTCGAATTTACAAAGATGAATTTTTGGAATATTTGGCTTTGACTTTATATTGTTAAATTATCATTTTTTTATTTTTCTAGCATCTACTCAACTTTAATTATACTTTTACTTACTGGACTATAATTTAGACTTATCTAAAGTTTCCAAAATTCTTAAAACAATTACTCTCAATAATTATATTATGACTACGATAAAACAGTGCAGCTGCTAATTAAGATTAAAAGTAGAGAAATAAAATATTATTAAAATCATAAATTGTATTAATTTTTGATTTTTACCATTTTTCGTTTTTTCAAAGAGTTTTCGTTTTTGCGTTAACGTTGACGTAAAAAACTTCCAACCATTTAAGGAATGTAAAAAAATTACTAAAATATGCATGAAAAATGTTATCAATTATGCATTTACTAAATGTTTCATTTTTTACACAATAAAAATTGGGAATAAATAAAAGTATTACTGCTAATTTATGCTACAAAATTTGAAATCAAAAACTACAGCAGTCAAAAAAATTGCCTTTAAAAATTTGAATATAAAAATAAATTTAAAAGTATTACTAACAATATGCAATATTTTACTATTGAAATTATAAATTTTATGCTAAAATTTAAGGAACAGATCGATGGCAAAATAAGTTTGTGCAATCTAAAAATACAAAAAATACGTTTAAATTACAATCAAAAAAAAGTAATTGAACTTAAATATATCTTTTTTTAAATTCAATATTTTGATGACTTAAGCGATCGCACAACTTTTTTTGCAACTTTATTTATTTAAATTTTATTTCTTTTTTATATCATAACTTTACCTATCCAATTGCTAATATTACTTTGAACCTTAAATATTTACATTTTTTGTCGCAGCATATTATTGGCATTTCCTTTCAAATTATGACTTAATTTTATGAGTATAATCTTTTGTGTAAGTTCAATGAAAGATGATCACTTTATTTTGTATAATATTGCTAATAATATCCTTTTTAATTTTCAAATAATACTTATTTAAAAAATATTTTAACAAATAAATTTCTATAATTAAGTAAACTTGAATTTTAGAACTACTACATCTTGCATTTCCAAGATTTAAATACAGATTATTCTTGAAATCTCAAAGAAGAAGATCAGATCATAAAACTATAATGAAAAAAATATCTGTTAATAATGATTGATAATTGTGATGTTTAATAAAGATATTAAAATCAATTAATAAAGATAATAAGGTGTGAACAAAAAATGTTTTATAAGAAATAATCATTACTTAAAGCAAAATTAAGAAACTTGCTAAAAATGCTGACGACAACGATTTATTTTATTTTCTTACAAAGTAAAAACTTGGTATTTTTGTATTCATTAAAAAAAAAACTCAATTTCTGTTTTTAATTACAAAAAGTTACGTAAATAAAACGCAAATTGGATCTTTTAAATAGAAAAATATTTTGACGCAAAAGTTGAATTTATTTGCTGCGATGGAACTACTTTAAGTCAGAAGTATTACTTTTACTTTTCAAAAAGATATTAAAAAGTGTACAAATTCATTTTGTATTCATTTCAACAATTTATACATGCCAAATAATGCGATGATTAGTAGATTAGAGCATTGATGAAGCAAAAATAATGAAAGTAATTGTGTGAGAAATGTAAAATTTTTTTTTGAAAATTAAACAAAAACGAATACAATTTTTAATAAGTAAATATCGATTCATTCTTTACAGAATCATAAAAATCACTGTATCAGTTTTTTCTAGCGCCATATTTGAGTTACAAGTATAAAAGTTGCATCACAGTCAAAAATTTTTGAAATGATTACTACTTCATTTCCTTTCAACAATCAAAAATGTAATATGCAAAGTATAAAAAATACTATTTTATCTACAACGTAACTGCTAGAGTTTGCATTTTTAACTCAATTTTTGTTTTTGCTTTTTCTGTAGACGAACACGTTTCATTCTTTATTGTACGTAACTCTACGTAACTCTTTTTGCATTTTTTTTTTGAATTTTATACATTTTATTATTAATGATCAATCATTTTTGCATTCATATTAAGACAAGACTGGTTATTATTACTGTTAAAATGTTTAGAAATACGTAACTATATAATTCATTATAGACAATGATAAATCTTTTATCATAAAATTTAAAATTTTAAATCTATCACATAATGCTTCTTGCTCTGTCTTATACACTCCTTATCATGATTATATTTTTGAATTTGATTTAATACCACAAAACAATTACCAATTGCAATACACAAATAATGCGTACACTCACACGGTTGAAAGCAAATCAAAGAAATTTAATTAAGCAAATCTTAGCTAATTAAGTGATTTTTTCTGCTAAGTCCTTTATACGTTTGACTTGCACACAAAATTACAAAACAGCTGTTTTTATTTTAAATATTATCAAAAACCAAACAGTTCCGCAACTTATCTTACATTTCTTCTTTTTTTAATAATTACTATTCGTTATTCATGTTAATTAATTGGTTTAGGGAAAATTTTTGAAAGAAAAGTATGCAAACAAAATATCGTTTTATTTATTTTGCTTCAAAATAAATATAAGAAAGAGTAAATAAATAAGAATATGAAAAAGAAATGGATAAATATCTAATATTTGCAATAAATATACAAAAATAATTCCCACAATTGTTTACTGACCATTGATAAACAATGAGAGTTATTTAGAATACAGAGTGAAAATGAGTGTACAATAAACAAAAATACAATACACAATGAGTGTACAATACACAATAAAAAAATGAGAGTAAAGTCAATTTTATTAGTAGTGTGACATTTTATCACATACTGTGAATGAAAAAAAATACTACTAGCAACAATAGCATTAATAAGAATAGCAATAAAAATAAAAGCTGTGATTAATAATAAAAATAAATGTACATATTAATAATAACCATGTGCAGGAGGTCGAAGGTTAATCTTCTTTTCTATCTTCTTGATTGTCATGTAGGATTGTGTTCCGGCACTCTCGCTGTACTCACGAGACACTCAGTTCTGCTGGTTCCTGTACACTGGTCAAGTGCTTTCCCATGTTGTTTACGAGCTTACATCAACGACCTCACCTGTTTTCCATTTGTTTTCATTTATGATTCCAGGTTCGGCTTTTTTCCCTTACCCTCCATTTCCTGTTTTGTAATCCTACTGAATAGCTAGCGGTTCTAACGCTCAGCAACTCAGCAGACTCCAACAATGTTTGTATATTAATAACAATACTGTCGAAAACGTATTAGCAGCCTAGAAGGCGTTCTTGTATAGCGAAATAGAAAATGCGGACGAATAAATCTCGTCCATAGTTGATTCATAAAATGGCTGCGATACGGAAACATTACCCCGCAAGATGAAGTACGATGCTGCTACTAAAATAGAAATATGTTTGGAGCTGAAAAATGTATGTGCCAACATTGTAGGCAACGTGTGAAGACGGTGGACCATCTAACCACGCAGTGCAAAGAAACGTTACATCACGACTATACTAGAGACACAATGAGGTCGTACGATGCATCCACTTGGAACTCTGCAAGAAGTATGGTATGAAAGCATTCCCTCGCATGCCAAGACATTCTGTTCAGCAGGTCGTCGCGAATGAGAATGTTGAGATCAGAGTCGATACGCGAGTGGAAACTGCGATCAGAATAAAAGCGGATGGACCGGATATCATGATACACGATAGGAAGCGACGTGAAGTAATCCTGATTGAGGTTGGCATCACCAGTCTGATTTATTCATCTTTCGTTCATTGGTCGAAAAATCTTTGATAGAATATAAGAAAATTATTGATGAAAAGGATAAATTATAATATATTTACACATTAAAGAGAACAAAAATCAGATGGGATCAAAAAATCTTCGTTCTTCCTTTGAGGACATGAAAATGACCAGAGATGGGATATATTTCATAAGAATATGCAAATAATGCCATTATCCCTAAGCATTACGGACTGCAAATATTAACACAGATAAAGAGCAAACTTTACTGTATTTGTCGATGGTAAATATGCCAGTCATGTAGCAGAATTTCTTGAAATAGACCAGAATTTTACTTTAAAGAGGTTGCATTTCGACTAATTCATTCTTCGGAGTATAAAAACTATAATATGCATATTTTCGCATACAAGGAAAACTTCATTGCATTTTACTTACGTAAAAATGGAAATGGTTTAATCATAAATAAAAACAATTTCAGATGACTAATAACTTATAATAAATTATGAATTTCTTAAAGATAAAGCTGCTTGGAGAGCATATTTTTCTCAGAGGACTTTGACCTTTAACTTGATTACTTTGATTTTCATCTTTTCAATTGGTCTCAAAGTTGTATTAAACTATCATACAGCCATTTTTCAATTTAGAAACAAGCAGAAACATTAGCTCAAAAGTTTAGAAACACTTTCACTTAGGTCTTAAAAAAACTTAGCATGTAATAATCAGATCGAACAAGATTATAGAAACTAGACAGAAATTAGCTGAACAAAAAATACATATTTCAAAAAAACAATTATTATCAGCGACAAATAATACAAACTGATAAAAACTCATAATCACACAACCACATGAACAACTGTCACAATTAAGATCTAAAAGAAAATATAAAATAAGTGATCTTACAGTATTTTGTAAATATTCCTGCAATTCAGATCACACAAAACTGTGGTAAATGCATGTTAGTTCGCACTCAGTTTCTTGGGAGAAACTTTTTCCATAACTACTAATTGAGTTCTAAACTTGACAACAGGCCAATAATATGGCAACAAATATAGTCGCTGTAATTCAATTCCTCTGAAAACAAATTAGATAATGAAGTTTTTATAACGTAATTTTGAACAGAAATATCAATTAAACGAATTTCTTTGAGATTGCTGACAAATTGCTCGACTATGCAAAAAATAAGTGAACATGAAATCTGCTCCAAAGTTATACTAAAAAACTTGAATATATAAGACACAATTACGTTGAGCTTATTTCATTTTTCAATCTTTTTTTTTCATTCAAAATATACTAACTGAAATGCTTTGACAGAATGCAAGATTTGATGAGTTGAATGAAATTGCAGAGTAGTGAAATTGGTAATGTCGGATTCAGTGTATGAACCAAGTATTAAGAAATCAAAACGTTCCATTTGCGATGACTTTAAGTTTTCAGTTTTGTTGTACCTACAAACTAATCACACAAATGTGAACATGTCAACTTCCTAAACTCAAAAAAAAAATTCTCATTCCATAACCCAAAAATTGGGGATAATTGTTTTTCTGCATTTTTAGGTTCTTTTTGTTGTAAAAAAAACTCATGCATCAATCAAAAGCATCACCGCTCTCTGCTGAAACACTTGTAAACATATCTACACATTACAAAATCAACATAAGGTAAATTACTCACTCCCAAGTATCATACAGCTGTAGGAATCGACAAACACCTGTTTGAGCTGCATAAGTATCAATATAAACCGAAACCGGTTTGTTGTGATCAGAACGTTGCATATGCTACATGAAAATATAAAGTTAAAAATTACACAAAAATTTCAAAATGTTATTTGCGAATTAAAAATCGATTCTACTTGACATCTTATCCTCTCTAAAATACAATGAATTGGTTACAGTTCATTTGTACCAAAAACATACTACAAAGAGAAATCAACGTTAAATGAAAAACTTGCAAATTCAAATTTTAGGACAAAAACCTGAAGAGAAACGAGCGCTTCTGCACCAGGATAATTTTTTGAACTTGCAAATAAAAATGCTGCCGTGCAAATGATATTCAAAAGCAAATTTACTAAGACTGCAACAGCCAATAACATTCTGAACAATGATTTCCGACGAGAGATCCATCTAAAAAGACACAAATTGTACAGTTTATGACACGGAACGAAGTCAGCAAGTTCAAACTTCAAGAAATAAGTGATCTCTAGATAACTTTCTTATTTCGAAGGTATATAGATATACTCGTGTTTTAAACAGGAATTTTTAAAGTTTCTTACACACTGCGTCAATTACAAGAGAAAAGTAAAACCAGCTCACATTCTAGCATAACAGACGGCCACTGAAACATTCAAAATTGGGATGGCATAGATGATAAATCGAAGTTCCTTATGTGGAAGAAAAGAATAAAGCAAAACGTATAACAAAACAGGTGTTACTATAGGTGCTAAACGACGATCTGAAAAAAAGAAATAAAATTTTCACAAAATTAAGTTCAATAAAGCTGCACTTTCTATTTCACATTTTTTGTTTTCTTAAAAAATTGAGATACTCGAGAAAATGAGCAACATCAATATCAATATGAAAATCGCATGATTCGACAGAGTTAATACAAGAAATTCTGAACTACTACCTGAAATCAATCCTATAGGTACAAAAACGCATGAAACCGAAAGCGCTCTTGGAATAGCGGAATAAAAATACCAGGAAAAAGGTAAGACCTAAAAATGATTTCACACACATTACTTTTCATGCATACAGTAACTCATACTATTTGAATGTCTTTGCATTTCTGAAATCTAATCGCATGAAAAAACTTGTTCTCATTAACACATTAATTGACTTTCGATTAATTTTCCTTTAAATTAAAAGCACTCAAAACCTACCCCATACTCCTTACTTCTATTTAATATCACATTGAACCACCAAACTTCTCCTTCTGGCCACAACCATCGTCGCCACAAATAAGAGTCAATTGGTATCGATATGCCTTAATAATTTACAAGGTTGATAGAGTAAATTAAATTTCAATGCAGCCCATAATAAAAAGCTTTTGTTATGAGTATGATTCACCTAATGCTAAAAATGCAACGAAACAACAATATACCACTGCTCCATTCCAAGAGAATAAAGAAAATTTTCTCGTTAATATAGGATAAAAGAAAATACAGGCATAAAATAAGATTAATTCACATCGAAACAGCAAAGTAAAAACAGTTGCAATTCCTGCTGCACAAATCCAATGGCGATCAAGAATTTTTTGATATGTCCAGAAAACTGAAATTCATTCATACCGAAAAGAGATAGAAAACCATAAGGTTTTATATTTTTAGTAAAAAGCTCTCAGAATACATAAAATAAGTTACAAACTCTTACCACCGTACAAAGCAAAGATATTTGGAAGAGGCCTGGAACAATAGAACATAAAATGAAACTGTGTTGCTGTCAGCAATCTGAATGGATGTTTTCTATTATTACTGGTACTTTTCTGTTTTATAAAACGAAATTAAATAGTCACAATAGTCACGATCATTACGTGTTGATTTTTTGTTGATAGAAGACAATGCGTTCAAAATAAGGGAAACTAGAATTTCGCATAAGAAACTCTCCAGTAAAGTCAAATAATTCACTAAATTTATGATTTATAACATTAGTTCACCAATTACACCCAAAATTCCTACATTACCTCAGAAAATCGCCTGACAATTGACCAAACTGCTTGTCGATTCGTTTAATAAACTCAATAAACGCGAATAACACAGACAGACCAAGCACCAATCTCACTGCAAAATTTTTAAGAAAATATCAGTCATTTAAAAAATGTGTTTGATAAGAATAAAAATCACAAATTTGAACAACAGTAAAAAATTAACTACTGTAAACTATTATGTAATATCCATAATACTTTGTTTTCACTCAGTAAGGTCAAATTATATAGCAGTTATATATAGGCAACATAACAAAGCTAAAAAAATTAACAAACATAAAAAGAGATCCAAAACAGACAGGAGAATAATCAGCTAGATAATGTCCCCATTCAAGTTAACTAAAAAAATATGCAAACAAAAGACACAATAAAGACAAAAACTTACTAAATAATTATACTGATCTTCTGTGATGCAATCAAAAAAACTTCAATAAAATAATGATACAAAAAAATAAATTATTGAGATTAATGGGACAAGTTAATGAATCTAAAACTCCAAAGTCACAAAAATTAAAATAATCTGAAAAAATAAACCCAAACTGACTTCCATAGAGCATCCAATATTTTGAGATATTAAAATACTCAAAAATGTGAACAACAGGAAGTAGTGGAGCACTAAGTGCCAAAGCACCAGTGAAAGTACGTGGTACTACTCCGGGAAATTTATGATGATCATACTGAAAAAAATGCACTACTAAAGTTAGCAATGAAACCACGTTCCAAACAAAAGATATAGTAAGTTCATCGTCAGATAACGAAAAAACTATGTCCTATACTTGCACAGAATTTTGATTAGATATAAAATAATATGCAGTAAAACTAGCCTTATCAAAATCCGACCGGTGATATAACAGATCATGCACTGCTTGAACATTGAAACTTTCCTCAACTTTTGTATAAGGTGCTATAGTGATATGAAAAACACACACTACTGCTAACAATAAATCCTTGAAGTTTCCTTTTATATCCATACTTTCTGGACGAGAAAATCAACAATGATTAAAATGAACTTGAATAAAATTATAAAAATTTGGAAGCAATATCGAGAGTTCGAGCAACACACTGAACAAATGAATAGAATAGATGTACAGATTGGTGCTTTAGCCTTTTTATTCATTCATTCCATATTAAATAATTTAATACAAGCCACAATAAAAATAAAGAAGAATGCATTTTAAAATATCTCTAACTATAAAAGATTAGTATCCAATTAAATAACGAGTTAGCAAATACTTCTCACATGATTTAAACGATGTTTCAAACAACAAATACTAACCACTATTGAAAGCGAATTACTTGCAAGAGAAAAAATATAGTAATGCTAAAATTAAATACATTATTACCCTTAAAAGCAAAAGAATTTTTCAAACAAGCTTTATAAAAAAAATTACTCTTTGATAACAATAAAGTTGAATAGTAATAACCAAGTGAAAAAGTTTTAAATACTGCAAGAAGTTTAACTACTATTAACAATCAGAAAGTTTCCAAACGCTTAATTAAGTTCTCTAATTTTAAAATTTCTTCTTCCATACCATTCACCACCGCTTTTGCCTGCAAAACCAAAGTATTTTGATAAATACTGTAATGTTTTAAGACACAAATGTTGTAACAAAATATATGTGACTGAAAATTTTGCGTACATACCCATAATATTACCGATATATTTTAGAGAGTAAAAGAAACTAAAACATAAACAAAGATTTGATGCATCTACAGAGAGTGAAGACACTAGCTTTAAAGCACTCAATTTTAGGAATGAAAAATTAATATTCCCAAGATACCTGAAAAATCTTGCGCTCGTGACATTCTACTGAATTATTTTTAACAACACTTTTAGCTAGTTTTTGATGTTTTTCAACACGATGCAAAAACTGATTTTTTCTTTTCTGTGCCTTTTGCAATCTCCTTAATAATTCTGTCTTGATCAGTGAACCAAAAGTATCCTATAACATATTATGTTTACGAAGTTTGAACAATACCAATTTGTTAATTTCAATCTCAAAAGTTGAAGGGAGTCAAACTACTTTTTGACCCGACATCAAAAATAATATTCAGTCTAACCTCAATAAAGACATTAATTTCTGTCGAATAACCGCGTAATGGAAAAGGTATATAGTGATTATTACATTTTTCCGGATCTGTCATCCGTAGAGTCACATTACAAAGTTCATATATCATGGACTCGAAATTTTTTAAATCGCAACTTTCCGTTTGGCATGACACTGAAATTATTAAAATTTTTACATGAATTAAAACTCACGAAAAAACCAATAAAATGCTAAACATAATTTCATTGCAACCTTTCAAAGGATTCTTCGCTGCAATATGAAAATGTGATCGTATTGATCGTACTGCTGTAATCAGTTCTAGAACGAATGACATGTCTTCTTCAAGTTTCTTATCAATTTTATAAAACTTCAAATGCTGAAAACAACTGTTTGCTTAATAGTGGGTGGCAATGAATACACAATCATTTTCTGCTGATATTAGAAATCAAGCGAAAATCAATATACCCTTTCTGATAAATAATTGTAAACGCTTTGCTCCTCATTCCGTTTTATATTATCGAAAAGATATTCGCTTATAAATGGCATAAAAATCGAAAGATGAACAAGTGATTTTTCAATAATGTCATGTAGATTCTCAGCAATAACTTTCAACCTCAAATGTTCCTTGCGCCAAAGTGCTTTTTTTGTAGTTTCCTGAAATATAATGCAAAACCAATTTTAAATTATTTAAAAAAATTAATACGATACCATTCCTTAACTTTCTAAGATTTGAAGTTGGTTTTTCAGAAACTAATGCCTTAAATTAACTTCATAACAAATACAAGTTTTCTAATGTTCTGCAGTTCTAAATGAGATTTTTGTAAAAAAGCTCACTATATAAACATCGCACAAATCATTGCAGAAAAATTTGTGTAATGCATTGAAAGCTAAATGAAGAGAATTTGATTCCATTTTTTTAGTCATCACCATCAAGGAACTCTCCAGCCTACTTTGAATCCAGCGATCCTAAAAGTATTAATATCCACAACTTTCTCAGATATTATCAAGTAATCACTCTCAATGAAAATACCCCTCTTCCACTAATATTGACGATTATCAGAAAAAAGCATAACAACTCGTGGTTTTTTCCTGTTTTCACATTAGACTGATTATCAGAAAAAAGACCAACTTCAATTCGATGAACGCTTAAGTCGTCAAGAGCTTCTTCACGACAACTCTCCCACAACTTCTTCGCATAAGCACAAAGATTCCATAGCTTATTGCAGAACCTGATAAGTTTAGAATGTAAAAACAAAGAACGCTTGCATTATTACGTTTTAACAGATCAAAAATAATCAAGAAATAATAAAATTAAATGATCAATGTTGATAAAGTTACCTCAAACCTTCTTCAGCTGTCTGCACAATATCAATATTAATATCTGTAGCTGTAACGTCATGTCGAAGTAAGGCAAAACGTAAGGCGTCTGGACCGCACCGACGAATTCCTTTGGGAAATCGAGATTGCAACGAGATAGATGCTGTTTCTATAATTTTTAACAATAAATTCAAGATTGAATACCTTATTTTTGAAATTACTTATTAAATTGGATAAGTACCATGAATTAAAAAACCCCAATACTGAGGACAAAAAGAAAAAACGAAAATTTCTAAACTTTACTTTTTTCGACCTCAGAAATATTACTTTCATTCAAACGCTCCAACATTTTCTGAATAGAAATACCATCAATAACATCCATTGGATCAATTATATTGCCAATAGATTTGCTCATTTTTTTTCCATTTTCATCACGCACTAAACCATGCAGTAGCACTTGGGAAAATGGCCAGTAACCTGTTAGGCTGAAATTATATGAGGCCTCCAAAAATCAAGACTGCGCATTAAAAGTAGTAGTATTCTCATAGACAAAAGCATTCTTTACCATTAAAGTACACATATTCTGAATATTTTTCAAGTAAAGCACCTGTGACAAACTGTAATCATTCTTGCCACCCAAAAACCAGCAATGTCAAATCCTGTTTCCAGCATTGTTAGCGGAACATATTTTATTTCTTTTTTTGGCCAACCTGCAGAAGTAAAATTTCAAACTTCTGAAATTAAACCAACTCCATCATATCTTAATATTCAAAACTGAATAGAATTTTTTCTTAACAAAATTACCAGAGAGAACGATAGGAATAAGTGCTGAACAAAACCATGTGTCCAAAACATCTTTTTCTTGTTCCAAATCTATTTCTGTTATTCTTCGACCACATGCACGCTGCGCTTCAACCTTATCAAGAGCTACTATCCATTCACTAAATTTAAAAAATTAAAAAAAAACTTATATGGAATCTCTTAATTTAAAACTCAATATTTTGAGCAGTTAGAAATATGAATCTGCACTGAACCTATTCGGATCTACGCGAAAGGCGGGTATTTGTTGTCCCCAATCCAGCTGTCTACTCAAGCACCAAGGCTCTTTTTTACTTAACCAATTTTCTAGATGTATTTGCATCGATTTTGGAGCAATAGTTATCTGAAATAAAAGCACTGAAGCTAAAAAAAGACTACAAGATATGGCGGCCAACAAAAACTGAGTCAAGGTTCAAGGTTGACTACAAAGCAGAAAAAACTATTTTTTACTTTCTCAAACTTATACACGAATAACATACCACACCATTCTCAATGGCTTCCAAGGCTCTATTATTCATATCTACACAGTTCATGAACCATTGTTTTTTGACCATCGGTTCAATGACGTCTCCGGTTCTACTACAAATCTTTAGTTGATGTTCAGGGTAAGGTATAGTTCCACCATATTTATTACATGCAGAAAGCTTGTCTATGATCTGAAACGGCTACATTTATTACATAAAGAAAGCTTTAGTATTATCGTTAAAAAATCAACAATTCTGATACACCTTAAAAGTCTTGAAGTTAATCAAACCTTTCTTCTGGCCTCAAATCGATCAATCCCATCAAAGTCTGAAGTGTTTATAAGACGACCGGATTCATCAATACAAGATCGATTTAAATCTTCATCATTAATAAAATCCTTATGTTTTTTCGCAATTTGGAAATCAATCAAGCCATGCGTTGGTGCTACCTTTAAAACACCTGAAATTATTCTTCATATAAATTCAGAAACGAAATAATTTCAGCAGAAACTAGCTGCATAAAACACTGAGATTGGAATTTCTGCAGTAACACTTAACTAAATAACTAAATCATCGACTTCGAACTACATACCAGTTCCTTTATTAATATTAACAAGCAGATCAGCTACAACAGGTAATAAACGATTAGGAAAAAACGGATGCCTAACGTGAGAACCAATATGCTTTGCATAACGTTCATCATTTGGATTTACAGCCAAAGCAATATCATCAAACAGCGTTTCTGGCCTCGTGGTTCCAACTTCCAAATAATTATTACCACAGAAACTGAAAAATCTATATGCTCGAGACATGTCACAACGTTCGAGTTTCTGGAATATTTTGTAATAATTCACGAAACCAAATGCAATTAACCATTTCCTGATCAATAAATTTCTCAAAAACAGAAAAATAACGCTTTTAATAGTAAGAATGAAATAAAAAAATAATAAACCTGTCCCCACTCAGAAGTTCATAACGTATTAAATGCATAATACCAACATCGGTCAAATTCCTTTGACAACCATACATAACACAACCTAGAGATTTACTTTTTCCAACATCCACAATATTTACTTCCTTAAAACAGAAGTTAGATGAACTTAACAATTAGTTTCTATAATATTTCTTTTCACAAGCCAAATAATAATTAGTTTCATTCTTCTTTATTTTTCAAATGATGCATCGACAATGCATTAACAGAAATACGTAGCAAGTTTACTTGATCAGAAATCGAGCTTCGTAGAGTAGGGCACCAATTAATCATCCTTAAGTCATTGAATATAATGCCTTTATCGTACAACTGACAAAACGCAATTTTCACTGCTTCAGAAAACTTCTGAAAAACCTGACAACATAAATTTGAAATTTTAGAAATATGAATTCTTTAGACGAATAAATATTGTCGGTATGAAAGCTTCACTATTCACTTCAAATCCTCATCCGAAATGAATTTATACAACTTTTTTATGCTCCTAAAAAATATTCATTTCAAACTTATTTTTACCAACACAGATAAACTCCGAATCAAAAATAACAAACTAACCTACATCATCTAATGTATAATAAACATTATGCCAATCAAGTGTTGCACCAAGAGCTTTCAACTGCTTAGAGATATCATTTACACGCCTGAAACGTACAAATGTACGACCAATATTTTCTAGAAATAACTTTTAGCAAAACTAATTCAGCTTTTAATAAGAAATACTGTACTCTTGTTTCCATTTTCGACAGAGTTCGAGAAAATAACTTTGTGTGACTTCATGTCTTCGTAATTTCATCTTATTCCAAAGCATAGTTTCAACAACGACTTGTGTAGCGATTCCAGCATGATCGAATCCAGGATACCACGTAACCTATAGATCGCAGATGAAAATGAGCGGATACATACCTTTGCAGGTCAAATGTCACACTGACCAAAAAAATTATCCATATCCACTTCTATTTACTAAGAACAGTTTGAAATTGGAATATCAAACTCTCACTTGTTGTCCCCGCAGGCGTCGATACCGACAAATAGCATCTTCCACAGTTACTGTTAAAGCGTGACCGATATGGAGGTTACCAGTAATATTAGGTGGAGGAAGCACCATTCTTAAATCATTAGATTCTACAAGGGTAGGGAATATCTTTGGCATCAAAACTTTCAAAAAGTTTATCGCTAAATTCAAAACCCATGAAAGCAAACTGCCCAACAGTGTTGGAATCATTCGCAATACTTACCGATAAACTTCCGGACTTATTTTCTTACTTCTGATGACTACCGTATCATGCCTCGCCTTCTTTCCATAACTGTTCGTTACAACATCTATGTCGAAAGAAGTATTCCTGATATTTCAAACTAGCATGCTTATTTTGATCCCAATTTAAATCGCACAAATGAATAACCAATAATTTCCAATATAAGAGCATCAAATATGGCAAAACCATAAGTGAAACCCACAGCCAATAAAAATATAATTGAAGTCTTACGCGGTTCTTGCTTGAAAAGATGACCCTCTACCAGCGTAATATGAATGCATATGCGCGACATACTTAAACCTCGATCTACTTATCATACTAGTAGCATCTAACAAAGTCAAATATATGACGACTGAAGGCTCTGAAAGTATGCAAATCATGTGCTGAAAAGCAAGTGAATACTCTAAGCAGAAATATGACCTCTGATAGTTGCTATAAATACTATTCTCATATTGATAATAATACTGACAAATGATAAGCTTTCATCCATCGACTAGCTCAGTAAGCAGATTCAGTACTAACTTTACTGAGCCGCATTAAAAATGATTAATTCGAACTGAGGTTTCCCTTTCTTCAAATTCCGGTGAAGTACTCTGTTATTAAAAATATGGCAGTATTTGGCAACAAATTTGGAAGCCACAATCTTGAACATGAATTTTATTTAAAAATGTCATATCATACTCAAAACTATCAACAGTGAGATTTACATGATTAGGCAAATGTTTTAGTAAACAGCAAAATAAATAGGTACTGATGACTCAAAGTGTCTAAAATTGCAAGATGTTTTGAATATCAAATTTTTTTCGCATGATAACTCTTATTATTATCAATTATTATCAGCGAGAGACCTGAAATGTCATGTTCTTTAAACACACTTAGTTTAAATCTTAGTTTAAAACTAACTTCAGATGACTTAAAATTCCATAACTCAAACATTCAACCTGAATCATATGTATCTATGAGTTAAAATTCTATTTCAGAAATAACATCATCGCAACATAACGCCATAATTCTCGACCATTTTTTGCCTGATTTTGAAGTGAATTCGGTTTACTTCTTCTTTTGTAAGAGCTTTATCATGACTGCGGTAAACCAAACGGTAAGTCTGACTTATTTTCTTCGTTTTTGGATGCAAAAAAGTGTCGATCATTTTAACCTGAAAACGAACGTTTTCAGTTGACTTTAAATTATAGTGAGAATATGAAAATGTAAAATGGCAATCGTCTCATCGTTAATGGAAGAGAACTAAGCTTTTATAACAACAATAACCTTGTATCAAATAAACTTGCTTGTTCAATTAGTGAATCATCTGTAGAACGTATTAAGTCACAAGTTTCCGCATTCATCTCATCAGGACTCATACCATCAGGAAGCCAGAAGGATAAATCATACAGGACTTGTGGATGGACACTAACAGGCACATATTTAAAGTTTTCTGTTGAGGATTTTCCCGTAAACTGAGATAGAAATCCTGAATCACGACTCCAAAATAATCTAATATCCGGAATGCCGTAAAGGATCTGAATTTCGTAGACAATTAATGATATGACTGAAGTGAGATATTAAGTGGAAGAAGTATCTCCGAAACGTATAATAAGAATGACTCAGCATTTTCAAATTTCGTAGCACGAAAGATTAAAAACAATAAAGGGTTATATAATTAATTAGCTTTCAAATAATGAATCAGTGAATTAAGTCGATCTTAACTAACCACTGCAAATACCAATTCGAAACACGACTTAACTTACCATAGCAAGTCGCTCAAGACCAAGACCAAATGCCCAACCAACTCTGTCTACAACACCAGCTATTTTCAAAAGATCTTGTTCTATAATACCACAGCCAAGAACCTCCATCCATCTGTTTTCGTAGTAAACTTCTAGCTCGAATGATGGGTAAGTGAATGGAAAATCTGCACCAACCCATCTCATATCACATTCAAAGTTAAATATAATACGACACAGATCCTCTAAATTTTCCTTAAATAAAAAAAAATTTGCCTTGACTGTAAATATTTATTGAAAAACTGGTAACAAACAAAACTGTTTTGCTATAATTTTTTTCCATAGTTCAAGGGAAAGTAATAAGTTACTCATACTTTTAAATCTTTGACCAAACATTCGGCTGCATTTTCTGTATGCAGCTCCTGTTTTTCTGATGTTCTTGAACCATTTATGAACAGTGGCTTCTAAACTGATGAAAAAGTAGAACAAAATCAACATATGTTTGCAATGCATCTTAAACTATTTAAATACTGTTTACAATAATCAGTACAATGTTTTTCCTTAAGTAACTTATAAGCAAAACTGAAGAGTAATGAGGAGAGCAATATATTCAGCAGTTCTTCACTTTTCTCACCTGATTTGGATTTAACGGGTCGTTAAATAACTCTGCAGCGGTAAACAAACGTACACCTTCAACTTGATGAAAGCATGAAAAGTGAGTGCGATCAATTGCATCACGACGATATACATCACCAATTACCAAGAAACTATCTAAACCTAAAATCTGAAACATGTGCATTTATACTGAAGTCAATAAAAATAGAAATATAATTAAACAAAAAAGGATGGAAACTGAAGATAAGTGATTTTGTATATTTAATTGGCTGAGAATGAATAACCGTTTTAATACACCTCTGTCTGGAATATGTACCTTGTTTGATGAGTGAATGCTGATGAGCTGAGGTATGTGATCTCAAGCAGTAATCTTTGTTGATGTAGTAAGTATCTAGAGTACTTCGACTGACATGATCAATAGGCACAAGTAATGAATCGAAATTGTCAAATACAGATACAACTCGCGATTGATTATCAATAACAGTAAATTGTGGAGAGTTTCCACCTTGAAACTTTTCAATGAATTATTGATAAAAATCTGGTGAGATTAATGTAGTTCATTATGCATAACAAGCTGCCACAGAATGAACAGAAAAACTGAAGAAAACTAAAAATTGCTACAACGGTACATGTTTAAAAAAAAGGGAATAAAAACTAGTAAACCTTTTACACGATATTTTCCATATATATAATCGACAATACGCTTTTTCAGCAAGCAAAGTGGATTTCCAGATTCGAAAAGTAATCGCCTCTGCAATTTCTGAATCACAGCTGGAGACAAATTCCATTTCTCATCAGGCAAAAAAGACTCTCCTGAAGTCAAACGAATATATTCACAATCATTCACAAACAAACAACTTTAAAATCTGATAATTAACATATATCTAAAATTACTTACATTAATAGCTCAAAGACTTAATAACTATTACAAATTCAAGTACAAGCACATCCATAGCATGCCATACAGAATCTTACTAAAAGTAAAAACTTTAAAATGAATGTAAAATTTTAACCGTCGATATGGAAAGTTTCAGGTGGTACGATTTTCGGCTTATGAATTCCTCTGGACCAAAACGTAACGCTACGGCCACTTGAACATAGGAGTTTGAGCTTGATTGATATCATTCGTTCAATCCTGACAAACGACCTGAAAAAATTATATAATTCGATTGCAATGCTGTTAATCTGGAATATGAACAGCTAAATGGAAAAAAACTGTCTAGCTCGAACTTGCAAAATAAACAGAGAAATATTTTAATTATTATTTTCTAGACAAGAAATTAGAGTAACGTTAATCACTAAATAAAAGTAATATATTTGCGATCAGAAATGTTTACTTGCAAATGCGCAACATAATAACACTCCAAGTTAACAAAATTTGCAATTGCCTTAGATTAATTTTCAAATATCAATTTTTTCCATTTTAGTGAGGAATGTTGCAGAGCAGGGACGCTTTGCAACATTACAGATACGAAAAAAAGCGAATTACGTGAGGTAGCCTCGAAAAGGGTTCAAGGAGGGCAACACCTTAATCACATTGACACAAAGTATATTCACATGTTGAGAAAGATTTCGCTGGTAGTTTAGTGTCTCTCCTTCAAACATACTCTCTTTTAAAACAACTTTTTGCAACCCACTCAGCATTTGTTGTATCAAATAACATTCTACATATATATAAAATTTAACTACAACTAGTGTTCATTTCCATGAACATATACTAAAATTGGAACAATACAGAGAAGATTAGCATGG